ATTTCTTGAAGGATCCTTGTGGAAATATCACCAATTATTAATTAAAGTATCTTCTTTTTAATGCAAAAAGCCGTTTTGAAAAATCACTTTTAGTTCTTGAGAAATAAATTTTTGAAATAATCGAAATTTTTTTCGAATTTCGCAATTTTCGCGCGATTAAGTTTTAAAAATTCGTATAAAATCCAGTTCTTGGAATATGGCTATGAAAATTTCCCAAAGTGTTAATAAAAGTGTCCTCTTTCCAATGGATCAACCCGTTTTGAAAAATAACCTTTAGTTTTTGAGAAAACAATATTTGAAGATTTGATAAAATTTTCGATTTTGCAATTTTCATCGATAACTTTCAATGAACTCTATAGAATTAACTTTTTGAAGGATCCTTGTGGAAATATCACCAATTATTAATTAAAGTATCCTCTTTTTAGAGTTGCTTCGTAAGTTAAATCAGCATCAAAAAAGTTCATTTTGTACCTTCGATAAAAATAAGTTATTCAAATATCGCAATAATGTGGCAATGTAAGGTATCACTTCAGAAATTATAACCATAATGGCCGGATAGATATGCCGAATAACCGATATCCGGCTTTTCGCAAAATCACTATCCGTTCCATCACTACTTGAAATCATTCAAAATCCCTGAAAAAATACCAGGATATACTTAAAAATATTTATGTTATTATATGTTTCCTGGAAAATTTTGATCCGTATCAGAGTCTCTCTCTTCAACATTATTTTCAGTTTCTGAAGCATATAATTCTTTAAAGCCTTCCTTCAGTTTTGTATGTCAAATTAGGGGTTATTAGTTAAAATTGCTTTACTTGAAAGTGATGGTACCTCATCACAAGATATCTCCCAAATGATATTTGAGAAAGATAAAGAAGACGAGGAACATGTTTTGTTAATTCCTGATTCGTTTTCTGGGAATTTTGGCTCAACAAATATTGTACCGCCACCATTGATACTAACGATATTGATAATCCTATGTATTCTGAAATGCGATATTCCATTCTTGTTGATTAATTACTTCTTTTTATTTGTCCGTTATTTATTTTATAGTAATAATTATAATTTTGGGATGGAACAATTCTCTGACATATCCTTTGTAAGATGACATACATATTAATGCAAAAATGTGATTTTTATAATAAATTGCTAATTTATTGCTTTATACTTCCCAAAATTAATTTTTATAAACGCATTCAAGTTGCTTGTGGATCCTATTAATTAATCCTATTAGTTCATATTAATATAAATATAAAAAAATAGATTTCAACATTGTTTTTTTTTTCAGAGGTCAACAAGAATCAATATAATTTACATATTAGATATTGTTTGTGCAACTTCTTACATTTTAATCGAAATTTATGTTATTTACATCAAATTGACATTTACTCACGTTCTTCGTCCTTTCACACACCTGTTTAAAAAGATTACAAACAATAAAAAAAAACTTCAAATAAAATCAATCTTTATTAGAATTAATTAAGAATTACCACAGATACAATTTTTGATTTGAGTGCAGAATCATAATAATACAGAAATTTCAATAAGATAATGACATATACATAAAGCAACAATTACATTACTATCCTTTGAGAACTATAAAAGGTGGTTCTAAAGGAATATCATTAATATCGTTTCGCGATTCATCAATAGGTAAATATTTTACAGAGGGAGTTTTTGGTGTTGTGCCTTTACTTGATGGGAAAGTTCTGCATGGGCTGTACAAGTCATTTCCACCAGATGGGGGTAAGTAGGTAAATTTACATGGTGGAAGGTATGGTAATCCAGGAGTCGTAGATATTGTGAAGTTCATCATAATCATCGACTTGGTATAATTTAATATTTCATACGTGACGTTACTAGGTGTATAAGAATAATTCGATGTGGCATAACTATATTTTCTAGTTGAACCTCTCGTTGTTGGCGGTGTTGTTCTTCTTGTATATCCTGTATGTTCTTCTCGATCAAATGGATTTTTAGGAGTTGTATAAACATAAGGTGTCACTTTTTCCGTTATTGTTGTTGTAGTTGGGGTTGTTGTTGGTTTTTCAGTTGTAGTTGTGGTTGTTGTTATTGTCGTTGGGGTTGTTGTTGGTTTTTCAGTTGTAGTTGTGGTTGTGGTGTTATCGATGGAGTTGTTGTTGGTTTTTCAGTTGTAGTTGTGGTTGTGGTTGTTATCGATGGAGTTGTGGTTGGTTTTTCAGTTGTAGTTGTGGTTGTTGTTGTAGTAGTTGTTGTAACACAATCAAAAATATCATCAGGTGGTAAATAACGTTTTAAACATGGATTATCAGGTGTCGTTTCGGTATATCCTTTAAAATTATCGTTAAAGAAATCTTTGTATGAGTAAATTCGCCTTCTATCGCGTATTGTGGCTGAAAATACTACGGATGGAATGATGAAAAGGAATAACCAAAGTTTCTGAAAGAAACGTGATTAAACATCTTAATAAAAATTGCAAAATCTTTCACCAAGTAAAAAATCTACATTAGAAATGGAATGAATTGTGCAACACACGACTTGGAGAGAGATAAATAAATAATCTTCCATGAATAAGTGTGCCACACGCTTTTAAATGTCAGAATAGCGATAAGTTAAATATTGTGCGAGATGCAAAAGATGGTGTTAACACAAAATTTCAAGGATTACAGTTTTATGAATTTATTAAGTTATTTGAAATAAAATTTTCGTTCATCTGATTAAAAATTTAAATGAATAAATTATCTTGAATAGTAAATTAATTAACTCTGAAACAATTTTCGTAATAATATTAGATTGATATTGGTATGACGTAAAGCATAATACAAGTTATGCAAATGTTTAAATGAACACTTACCATCTTGATCTAACAGTCTGAAGAAAACTGGACATCTTCAAGCAAGTGTGGGAACCTTTATAAAGTTGAGCATGAAGGTCAGATTGGGACATGACACAGGCAATATATCTATACAATTTATCGAATATTTAGAATTATATAACTTTCCCCAAATCGATTCTTTTAAATGGCAATTTTAATTCCACCTCAAAAAAAAACCAAAAAAAAATTTGGAGGTAATCGAAATTAACTTAAGTATTTTAATTGTTCAAGTTTGAACACTTTTTCAAAATCAACTCAATAAAAAAAGTTAAAATGTCGATCTTCGGTCATGGTCGTATCAAAATTTAAAATGCAATAAACAACGAATTACTTCAGGCATTATTTTTAAATGTATTCCATTTTAAATCAAAGAGATGCTCGAATGATGTCACTCTCCTTGTCATTCCAAATTAACAAGAAAAATTGATAGTCTGTAAAAAAAGCACAAGGTAAAGAACCAAATTTGATTAATATATTCCATCATTAACAGGTTTTTATTGTTTCAAAGTATAAAATAATACCACATATAACAATAATTAATTAATTTTAATTTATTTGTTATTATCTTCGATTTCGTCGTCTAACTTTCGTTTTGAATTTCCATCCCCAAAAATACTTCTTTTAAACTCTTCATATTTATCAGGATCAGAAAGTATACTTCAAATATTGTTTTCTCAAAAACTAAAAACACTTTATTGGAAAGAACACACTTTTATTAACACTTTGGGAAATTTTCAAACTCATATTCGAAGAATTCGATTTTATACAAATTTTTAAAACTTAATCGGGGAAAATTACAAAATTCGAAAAAATTTATTTCTCAAGAACAAAAACTTATTTTTCAAAACGGCTTGTTGCATTACAAAGAGGATACTTTAATCAATAATTGGTGATATTTCCACAAGGATCCTTCAAGAAATTAATTTTATAGCCAATTTTGAAAATTATCGATGAAAATTGCAACATCGAAAATTTTATCAAAACTTCAAATATTGTTTTCTCAAAAACTAAAAGTTATTTTTCAAAACGGGTTGGTTTATTGGAAAGAGGACACTTTTATTAACACTTTGGGAAATTTTCATACTCATATTCCAAGAACTGGATTTTATACGAATTTTTAAAACTTAATCGGCGAAAATTGCAAAATTCGAAAAAATTGTCGATCATTTCAAAAATATATTTCTCAAAAACTAAAAGCGATTTTTCAAAATAGCTTATTGCATTAAAAAGGCTATACTTTAATTAATAATTGGTGATATTTCTACAAAGATCCTTGAAGAAATTAATTTTATAGCGAATTTTGAAAATTATCGATGAAAATTGCAGCATCGAAGATTTTATCAAAACTTCAAATATTGTTTTCTCAAAAACTAAAAGTTATTTTTCAAAACGGCTTTTTGGAATTTATACGAATTTTTAAAACTTAAACGGCAAAAATTGCAAAATTTCGATCATAAACAATACGCAAATATCACACTTGATCGAATTATGTTCAAAATTAATAGTCTTTAAAAAAGCACAAGGTAAAGAACCAAATTTGATTAATATATTCCATTATTAACAAGTTTTTATTGTTTCAAAGTATAAAATAATACTACATTAANCAATAAACAACGAATTACTTCAGGCATTATTTTTAAATGTATTCCATTTTAAATCAAAGAGATGCTCGAATGATGTCACTCTCCTTGTCATTCCAAATTAACAAGAAAAATTGATAGTCTGTAAAAAAAGCACAAGGTAAAGAACCAAATTTGATTGATATATTCCATCATTAACAGGTTTTTATTGTTTCAAAGTATAAAATAGTACCACATATAACAATAACTAATTAATTTTAATTTTTTTGTTATTATCTTCGTCTAACTTTCGTTTTGAATTTCCATTCCCAAAAATACTTCTTTTAAACTCTTCATATTTATCAGGATCAGAAAGTATACTTCAAATATTGTTTTCGCAAAAACTAAAAACACTTCATTTGAAAGAAAACACTTTTATTAACACTTTGGGAAATTTTCAAACTCATATTCGAAGAATTCGATTTTATACGAATTTTTAAAACTTAATCGGGGAAAATTGCAAAATTCGAAAAAATTGTATTTAAAAAATTTATTTCTCAAGAACTAAAAGTTATTTTTCAAAACGGCTTTTTGCATTACAAAGAGGATACTTTAATTAATAATTGGTGATATTTCCACAAAGATCCTTCAAGAAATTAATTTTATAGCAAATTTTCAGTTATCGATGAAAATTCCAACATCGAAAATTTTATCAAAACTTCAAATATTGTTTTCTCAAAAACTAATAGTTATTTTTCAAAACGTGTTGGTTCATTGGAAAGAGGACACTCTTATTAACACTTTGGGAAATTTTCATACTCATATTCCAAGAAATGGATTTTATACGAATTTTTAAAACTTAATCGGCGAAAATTGCAAAATTCGAAAAAATTGTCGATTATTTCAAAAATTTATTTCTCAAGAACTAAAAGTGATTTTTCAAAACGGCTTTTTGCATTAAAAAGAGGATACTTTAATTAATAATTGGTGATATTTCCACAAGGATCCTTCAAGAAATTAATTTTATAGCGAATTTTGAAAATTATCGATGAAAATTGCAACATCGAAAATTTTATCAAAACTTCAAATATTGTTTTCTCAAAAACTAAAAGTTATTTTTCAAAACGGGTTGGTCCATTGGAAAGAGGACACTTTTATTAACATTTTGTGAAATTTTCATATTCATATTCCAAAAACTGGATTTTATACGAATTTCTAAAACTTAATCGGCGAAAACTGCAAAATTCGAAAAAATTGTTGATCGTTTCAAAAATTTATTTCTCAAAAACTAAAAGCGATTTTTCAAAATGGCTTGTTGCATTAAAAAGGCGATACTTTAATTAATAATTGGTGATATTTCTACAAAGATCCTTGAAGAAATTAATTGTATAGCGAATTTTGAAAATTATCGATGAAAATTGCAGCATCGAAGATTTTATCAAGACTTCAAATATACCGTATTTTCTCGAATCTTATCCGCACTCGAATCTAATCCGCACCCCGATTTTAAAAACGCATAGTGGTAAAAAAATTTAGTTTGCGAATGTAATCCGCATCTTTCTTTGAGCAATTCGACAACACCAAAACGATGCGATGCTTGTTGTTAACCATAANACGCAAATATCGCATTTGATCGAATTATGTTCCAAATTAACAAGAAAAATTAACAGTCTTAAAAAAAGCACAAGGTAAAGAACCAAATTTGATTAATATATTCCATTATTAACAAGTTTTTATTGTTTCAAAGTATAAAATAATACTACATTAAAAAAAACTTAATCAATTTTAATTTTTTTGTTATTATCTTCAGTTTCGTCCTCTAACTTTCGTTTAGAATCTCCATCCCCAAAAATACTTCTTTTAAACTCTTCATATTTATCAGGATCAGAAAGTAAACTATCAGGTGCTGGTCCATCAATTGTTAAATTACCAGAACTAACACTTTCACTTGTATTCTTATGATAATCATTTAATTTAATGTGAGTTGTTGTAGATGTATCGGTTTTTAAAATTTCTCTTATAACCATTGTAGCGTAACTGGAAGATTTTAAACAAAAATCGATTATTAAAGCTTTATAAGCACCATTTGGGTCATCTTCTGGTTCTTTTCTATTTTGATATTCATCAAAATCCGAACGAATTAAATCGGTGTTGGGATGATCGTACTTCATTATTTTCCAGGAAAGATTGTTTACTTTGCGGAGTAATTTACGATAAGTACCTGATAAACAATAAGACCTGAAAAATAAATTAAAATTAATTAATTTTTGATTCATATTTTTAATTATTATACTAACTTTACGTTATGAAACGACATTTCTACAGATAAACCATAACTTTCTAAAGTTTCCTTATAATACTCTGCCATTTTATTATTCGGATATTTAACATCATAACCAGGTAGAGGTAAAATAACATCGTAAATATTATAATTAACTAAATCATCATTAGTTAATAACTTAACTTTTTTTTTTCTACTAAAATTTTTTACGTTATTTTCCTCAACTTTATTTTCTTGATCGTTATTTTCATTGTTCTCAATTTCTTCGTTTTCAGTCTGTTCAATTTCTTCTTCTTCGTCATCGCAAAAAACTAAATCACCAACAATCGGTTTTAAACCAAACTCTTTTATTCTAATCGAACACATTTTATTCCAAATTAAAGCTTGGAACGAATGGAGATACAAAAGTCGCATATTTCTTGGAATATTTTCCAATGCAGTCACGTAATCGTTTTTGTTTACTTTCGATAAACCAACAAGAAGTTTATGTTCTAGACAAGTGTTTTCGTTTTCGGAGAATTCCGCGCAAGCTTTTTCAGCATCTTTAGTTGTGTTGTAAATATTTCTAGCTTTTGAAATATCAGAATTAGGATCTTCATGTTTTTTACATTTTAAAATTAATTCACAAGCCTATAAATAATAAAAATATATTAAATATTTGTTGGGCGAGAATGATATTTGCGAAATATTAAGAAATGTTACTTCTTGGATTATAATCAAATGATGACGTAGATAGATTCGCGATACCGGAAGCTTATCCGACTGGTGAGAATAATGCTGGCAAACACCAAGAAGAGCTTTTGGTGAGAAGCGGCCTTAAACAATAGAATGATTTGTTCTGTACTAAACTAGGGAGGATACGTCAAAAACCAAAAGCATGCCAAGGCCACCGAAATGAAAACACTATGGACGATAAGCTACCTAAGATAAAAAGCTCAGCAATACGGGAGGAACTGAAGGTGCTTGATGTGGTATGATTTACATGGCGTGGCACAGTTATAGAAATTACGTCTACAGAATGGACGACGAGCGATTGGCGAAATGGGCCAAGAGTGAGAGACAGAGTTTGAAGAGACCTATTGAACGATCGGTGAGAAGATGGCATGAGTGGTGGAATTTAGCATTCCAAGAGGCCTGATGAAGCAGAATAAACCAAGATATAGTCTTAAATGAAGATGAAGAATGAAATGAACATTTAATAGCCGCAAAGAATGGTTTCTGGAAGTGTCGATTATATCCATTTAATGCAAAAGTGGTCGATTATACTAAATATGTGCTAAATAACCTTGAAAACATGAAAAATAAGAGCCAAGATAACTTTTTTCAATTATCATTTAAAATGTTATAAATGTGTCATTTTGGTCGATATGAAAACACGAAAATAATAATAAGTTATACAATAGTAATATGGAGGTTTTAAATTTCTTGGTACAGATGATTAAAACACATAAGACACCTCATTAATTTCGTTTATTGATTAAACATGGTCAATTATGACGTTTCGGGAAACATTCCCATTCCCATTCCCAAATATTGGACTAAAAAGGGATTTGTGAAAGACACATTTAACCTTTTAGTTAATTTTGTAAAGGTTAAATGTGTCATATACAATATTTCATTTGTATAACAGTTGGGAAGTAGTCTTACGCTGGACAGAACTTCGTCGCAAAACCAAACCAAAGAAGTTTTATGCTTCATCAAAGGGGATCTTGGGAATTCATAGCGGGTGTGTTACAGCTTTTGTGTTGCTATTTAATATACACATTTAATCTTACTAGTCAATTAAAATTTTGTCAAAAGTCATATCTATGCAGATGATACGCAAGGTTATTATAACTTTGATAGGGATAATGTAGAACGCAGAAGTATGTATCAATGTTGACCTTGATAGACTTGGTTATGTTAAGAGGCACTGTCTTACTATTAATGGATGTGGTGAAGGATTCTTTAGATTTGCGACTTGACAATGTTAAACTTGGTATTTCATTTTAGATTCATCATTTTTGATTCAAATCTGAGATTCAAGACACATATTAGTGGACTTCTACACCATGCATATTTTGCTATCAAGATCTTATACATATAGTAGTAGACATACCTTAGATAGGATTCAGAAAATGTAAAATGCTTGCAGTGACAGGATTTCTCATACAGGCGTCGACTCTTACACATTGTGCTTATATCACAAAGTTTTGTTGTTAAAACTCCTTATTTATACAATAAGATTTCTTTCCAGACTGACGTTCATAACATTTGGCAACGCAGAGATTTTTAAGAGGTCCTTTTCGTACTGTGTCGCCGTTAGATATAATGCGATTCCGGGTTTTTTGAAGTTGGGGAGTGTGCGAGGTTTTAAGACTAAGTTGAGAGCTCACCTATTTAATGAACAACTAGCTGGTACTAGAAACTGCTCGTGAGGGTTGGATTGAATTGGAAACTTTAATTATTGTATAAGAATGTTTACTCTAATTTTCTTTTACAAAAATCTTTTTTTCTTGATATAGTATTATCTTGTCTTGTTTCCAGATTGGACAAGCTGAGGATCAAATTTGTCGAATTTGCGACGACGCGTCAGAAACAGCTGATTATACTGTGTAATTGCGTTGCCAGAGCGCAAATGCCTCTTGTGACACTTACTGACATAAAGGAACAAGACCTTGGAGTAATACTAAGGTTCATTAAGGACCAACATTTGCCCTACATTTTGGAGGGCTTAAGTTAGAATACATCTTATAAATCACGGTAACGGCTTAATAATGGCTTAATAATCGGTGAAAATTGCAAAATATAACAAAATTTTCAATAATTTCAACAAATTATTTCTCAAAAACTAAAAGCGATTTTTCAAAACGCTTTTTGCATTAAAAAGAGGATACTATAATTAATAATTGATGATATTTCCAAAAGGATCCTTCAAGAAATTAATTTTATAGCGAATTTTGAAAATTATCGCTGAAAATTGCAACCTCGAAAATTTTATCAAAACTTCAAATATTGTTTTCTTAAAAACTAAAAGTTATTTTTCAAAACAGGTTCGTCCATTGGAAAAAGCACACTCTTATTAACACTTTGGGAAAGTTTCAAACTCATATTCTAAGAAATGGATTTTATACGAATTTTTAAAACTCAATCGGTGAAAATTGCAAAATACGACAAAATTTTCGATAATTTCAACAAATTATTTCTCAAAAACTAAAAGCGATTTTTCAAAACGGGTTGTAGCATTAAAAAGAGGATACTTTAATTAATAATTGGTGATATTTCCACAAGGATCCTTCAAGAAATTAATTTTATAGCGAATTTTGAAAATTATCGATGAAAATTGCAACATCGAAAATTTTATCAAAACTTCAAATATTGTTTTCTCAAAAACTAAAAGTTATTTTTCAAAACGGGTTGGTTCATTGGAAAGAGGACACTTTTATTAACACTTTGGGAAATTTTCATACTCATATTCCAAGAAATGGATTTTATACGAATTTTTAAAACTTAATCGGCGAAAATTGCAAAATTCGAAAAAATTGTCGATCATTTCAAAAATTTATTTCTCAAAAACTAAAAGCGATTTTTCAAAACGGCTTGTTGCATTAAAAAGAGGATACTTTAATTCATAATTGGTGATATTTCCAAAAGGATCCTTCAAGAAATTAATTTTATAGCGAATTTTGAAAGTTATCAACATCGAAAATTTTATCAAAACTTCAAATATTGTTTTCTCAAAAACTGAAAGTTATTTTTCAAAACGGGTTGGTCCATTGGAAAGAGGACACTTTTATTAACATTTTCATACCTATATTCCAAGAAATCGATTTTAATGTATTTTTAAACCTTAATTGGCGAAAACTGCAAAATTCGAAAAAATTTTCGATCATTTCAAAAATTTATTTCTCAAAAACTAAAAGCGATTTTTCAAAACGGCTTGTTGCATTAAAAAGAGGATACTTTAATTAATAATCTAACTGTATATCTTTAATTCCAAAGATAAAGACTATTTCTTTATCTAATTTGTGAATATTGATAAAAATTTTCTTTAATGTTACATTTTCATCATAAATTTGATTTGTTTTCTCTTCTTTTACATAGAGAGGCTTTGTTAAATTTAAAATTCTTGTTAAAAAATTAACAACTCATAACATTGTAATAATGTATAAAATTAGAAAAAATTTTTATTCAACTTACTTACCTCTTTAAATTGTCCTAAAATTAATTTTATTCCAACATCATAAGTAGGAACTTCTTTACTATGTCCAAATCGTTGTAATCCATAATAATTAATAAAACCCCTTTCTTCCAACATTTTCATAGCAGCTTCTATTAATTGATCATCAACAGTAATATTTCTAAGAGCAATTCGAAAACGATTCCCGGTAAGATCTCCAAGTTTTAAAACTGTGTCTTTAAAACAAACATTTCCAATACGAAGGTTTCTTATACATTTAGTTTTTTTGAATAACTTCCATGGTTCAACTTTTTTAACACAAAACCACTGGGTGGTTTTTCCGCGTCGATCTTTTACTCCTGCATAAGTGAAGGAGTTTGGTTTTATATTTAAACAACTGCTTATTCTCATAGCTGCTTCAAGAGTGTCCATGTTTTCTTTATAAACTAAAAAATGAACATAATCTCCTTTTGTCCATTCAACTCTGTCGTCGAATTTTTCTTCTTTATTAAATTTTTTAATCTCTATGTATTTTTTACCATCCCTTTCTATAGTAGAAGCACAAATTTTTCGTTTATAATATTCTTTGACACAGCGATGAATTTTCCCTCGAGTATCCTTATCAACATCACTTATATCTAATTCCACAATTTTTCCTTTATCATCATCAACAATAGTAGCTATTTCATCCCATTTTTCTTGAGAAATAAATTCACATGGACTCTCTTTCGGAATAACACCATCTCTGGGAGTTGATGTATTCAATGAAGGGATTTCCGTTGTAGAAAATTTTGCAATTTCTCCCTCACGATTTATTTCATTAACGTGAAAATCGGAGTATCTAGCTTTAAGGATCCCCGAAAACCCAGCTAAGTCACTTAAATATTCGGTTATTCCAACATCTTTTTCGTTTAATTGTTCCTGTGGTACATCTGACACGTATTTTCTAGCTCCAGATCTTTGATTTTGATTAAAATTCCGCTTTCCACCTCTTCTAAACGATCGCGATCGGTTCATGGTTAAAACTAAAAACCAAAAACACCGCTTATTATGATTAACCTTTTTTTTTTGAGGTTAAGAACGTGTTATAAACGTCACAACGTGGCGTTTGAGGTTATGTATTTTCTTCGTTTTATTCAGTTTTTGGGATGATTTGTGTTATTTATTGTAATTTATGCGAATATATTAATTTTACGAGATTATTCGGAAGAATGAACTTGATGGTTGCGATTATTTTATTCTAATTAGATAATTGAATTAATAGCGGATTGAATAATGAAGTTGAATTTAAACTAATCGTGATTTTTAATATAACAATTTAATAATATAATAGTGAAATAACTCGTTTTTCGCGATTAGAAATGAAACGTTTTTGATTTTTGATTAATAACTTAACCTCAATTTTTTATAAATGTCAGTTTTGACAGATGTGGCGCATGCGTATGACTATTTTTAATAAACGGAATTGTTTCGAAATTGAATTTAAACTAATCGTGATTTTTAATATAACAATTTAATAATATAATAGTGAAATAATTCGTTTTTTACGAATAGAAATGAAACGTTTTTGATTTTTGATTAATCACTTAACCTCAATTTTTTATAAACGTCAGTTTTGACAGATGTTGCGCATGCGTATGACATCTTTTTAATAAACGTCATTGTTTTGGTTGTGGTTTGTGAAGTGGTTGGAATTCTATGTATTTTTAATAAAGAAAACAACCTTCAAATAACTGTAAGTATCCCTTTTTATGAGCAATTAACGAATTTTATCCTCCCTTAATTCAACCGAACGAAATAATTCCGTAGGCGTGGTCGATATTCTAGTATAATTGAATTGCCTGAACCTATTGATTGCTTTTTATTTTCGTCGCTCCCTTCTTTGTTGTTCTTTTTATATACTTAACTCAACTTCCTTCATTTTACGTAATTTATTAATTGTGCGTTAATTGTTTTTGCGCAGTAATTAAATAAAAAATGGAAGACGAAGATGAATTATTACAAAGTGCGACGTGTACGGACGAAGAATCTTTATCCGAAAGTGAAGATCAATGTATACCGCAAGAAAAACCGGAAGAAACAGACCTGGTTCAACACCTTTACACAGACCACACAAAATTCGAATTTTTCGTCGTAAAATCTTTGCTAATCCTCTCATCTACCGCTATTATAATCCTTCTACCACTCTATTTAGACTCAATTAATAAAAACAGCGACGTTTTTGTAATGTTTAATTTTACATCGATCGCAACATGTGTTTTAATCGCGTTTATAACATTTTCCACTCGAAGATTTTGTCCAAAAATAAAAAATATTAATTTATGTAAACCACCTTTGGGTTGGAGCAAAATAATCTTAATGTTAATGATTTATTTGTTAATGGGATTTATGATCGTTTTTGCTGTTGATAGGAAAAGGGTGATGTGTCACCTTCAGGACCCTATAAAAGGGGTTGTTTTGGTCTTTTCTTTGGTTAATTATTTTTTCTTTTGCCAAAAAAGTAAGATAAAAAAATTATATTATACAGGGTGATTCAAAAAAATACGCTGATAGACTTATTGGGTAGGTAACACATCAAAAATTAAGATGAATAACGACGTCATCATTGCAAGTATGCAACCAACATCACAGTGCTGGTATTGCAATACGCAAATCGCGTATTGTGTTGCATACTTACGATAATTAATTAAGATACTGCACGTGGGCTTGAAAATGCCACCTTAATGAGATATAAGGGTGTCAAAGTTTCTTTAAAATTAAACATTATCTAAAAGAAAAAACCCTTTTTCAAAAATATTTTCAACGCCACTGCTAATTTTGTCAAAGGGGCAGTATTTTCGTGTAAAGTGATCAATTATCTATCAACTGATCTCTTACAAAACTTTGATTAAAGCCACCAATTGATAGATAATTGATCCCTTTACACGAAAATACTGCCCGTTTGACAGAATTATAATAATAATAATGTACATTCATAACAAATATAGACATCAAGACAAACGGATTAATTCATCGCAATAAGCGATATCTTCCAAGAGACCCAACTGGTAACAGTGTATATGTAATTTTAAATAAATAAATTATAAATAAATTATGGCTACCAAAAAAAGTAATACTAAATGATGTGCTAATAAAACTGAGCAAATGAGCATATTTGAGTTATGTAACGGATCGACAGTCAGTTACTACAAGGAAAGTAATAGACACAAAAAAAAGAAGTGCAGTAAAAGATAGATGAAAGGCAGACTAGAAAAGAAAACAAACACGTATGAGTTTGGTAATAAATAATTTACAAATACACAAAGGTCAAGAAGAAGATAGTTGAAGAGACAGCAGATGGCGCCTGAAGGCATTTTTAAAACTTATTAAACTAGCTGCATTGCAAATCGTTCCACAACCCAATCGACTGCACTTTAAAGGATCTGTGGTAGATTTCAGTACTATGGACTGGAAACATGAGTGTAAAGTCCGACATTGATCGAGTGGGCAAGTCATGTGATGCTAAAAAGTGAAAGGCATCAGACAAATAAGCAGGAGTGCGGGTATGGACAATGTTGTACAACATAGTAAGCATACGAAATGATCTACGACTCTGGCAAGTCATCAAATGCAGCTTGTTACGATATGGAGTAATGTGCTGAAACTTTCCTAATTCAAAAATGTACCGTATACAATTGTTCTGAAATCGTTCCAATTTACCCCAAAGGGCTGCGGACAGATCGGGAATAACAAAGATTACGACGTACAACAGGAGGAAGGTAGCAGCAAAGTTTTTTCAAAGTATGAAAACAGAAATAAACCCTCTTACAGACTCCCTGAACTTGTGGCCGTCAAGACATCGCCGAATCCATTACCACACCAAGATTTTTGACCGTATTAGAAAACGGAATAACGATGTCGTCAAACCTCAGTTGAGGAATTAAATTGTGGCAGCAAGGGGCGAGTGCCAAATGCAATAGCTTGCGTTTTATCTCGATTCAAGTTAAGTCCATGACGTCTAGACCAATCAAGCACGCTAGAGAGATCGTTGTTAAGATGTAACAAAGCATCTGGGAGGTTGTTAACAGTTGACGAAATAGAAAGTTGAGGGTCATCTGCATACAAATGAGTTACACGAGATACCATCACTAATACTATTTATGAAAATTGAGAAGAGCAAAGGACCCAGCACACTGCCCTGGGGAACTCCAGATTTGATGTCAACAGGAGAAGAGAGTACAGATTCCACGCGGACACGTAAGGAGAGGTAAAACCAATAGCAGAAATCCTAGTTAACAGGAAGGCATGGTCCACAGAATCATAGGCCTTACTAAAATCAAGTAACACTAGCAAGGTAACACAACGCTTATCACAAGCAGATCTAATATCATTGGTGATCTTAATCAGTGCTGTAGTACGGTGGAGATGAAGAATATGATAAAGACATTGGAAAGATATTATAGGGGAAAGGGGCTGGAAGTGAATGTGGGGAAGACAAGGATGATAAGGGTGGGAGAAAAAGAACAGAAAACTGGAGATGGGAGGGAAAGGAGATCGAGGAGGTTAGGGAGTATACTTACTTGGGGTATGTGTTTAGGGAGGATAACAGGGAGGGGTCGCAGGTGATAGCTGTGGCAAAAAAGGCGAATAAGGTGATAGGACAAGTATAGGGTTGGGGGAAGAGAGTCTTTGGAAGGAATGTGACAGCGAAGATGATGTTTAAAGGTCTGGTTAGCAGTGTGGTGATGTATGGGGATGGAGGGAGCAGGGAATGCTGGAGAACGTGCAAGCTAGATATTGGAGATGGGTGCTTGAGGTGGCGAGAGAAACGCCGGGGTATATAGTGAGCGAAGAGGTAAAGGTGGATAAGGTCATAGTGGAGGCGGGCAGGAGGGCAGTGGAATATGAAGAAAGAATAGAAGGGAACCCAAACAGCGGGATCTTGGGGGAGTGTGGGAGGGAAAGGTCAGATATGGGATAAGAGACAACTATTATAGACGAGCGGGCTACTCGGTAGCTGAGATAAATAGTAGACGAAGGGTGGGTAGGGAGATGTGGAGGGAGTTGAGAGATAGGGACCGAGATATGCAGAGACAGGAAAGAAGGACACAAATAAAAGAGGGAAGGTATAACGAAAGGTACAGGAACTTAATTACGGACGGGCTGCCTAGATACTTGTTATTGGAAGGAGATGAGGAAGGGAAAAAGTTGGTGGCTAGGTTCCGTTGTGGAAACGAGGAGAGAGCTAACAGATACTGGATGGCCGATGAGGAGAGGTGATGTAGGCTGTGCAGGGAGGAATGAGAAACGTTGGAACATATGCTGAATGGGTGCAGTGAGTTGAGGGAGGAGGAGATGGACCAAGGGCAGATCTTAGGAGAGGGGGGAGAGGGGAAACGATGGATGAGAATGGTTGTGGGGGTGAGGTAATTTTAGCAAAGAAAAGACACCTGTATATACGTTGTCACACAAGAACACCGCAAGCTGTAACTCTGCCATTTACATTCTGATTTTCTTGAGCGATGTATCAAATTAAATGGTTTGATGAATACTATGATTCATGATACAAATAAACTTGTTCCAACGCCATCTTCAATTTGAAGCGTTTATCAACTTGTGATTTTCAAATTACTCGGTATGTTTTCCTTCACGCTATTGGATAAATATTAGTTTATTTGTATGTGTTCATCAAACCATTTCATTTGATACCTGGGTTATGAAAATCGAAATGTAAATAGCACAGTTACAACTTGGGGCGTTTTTTGTGTGACACCCTGTATATTAAGACTATTCATCTTAATTTTGTATGTCTTATCTGCTCTAGAAGTCTATCAGCGTTTTTTTTTGAATCACCCTATATATTTAAATTATTTATATTATTTTTATTTAGTGATGGGACTACAAAGAATATTTTCAGCGACAACCATAATCGTTGGTCTTTTTATAACCGTCGATTATGGATTGTGCGACGAATTTCGATGTAGAGGCAACGAAAGAGAACATAGATCTGACGACGCTGGAAATTGGTCATGGCAAACACATTCCATTTGGGCTGCTATTTATATTGTGGGGTTATATTTATTTGCAACATTTTACACTTTATTGGATCGATATTTAATTAGTTCTGAAACGGTATTTTTGATTTATAAAAAAAATAACGCAAATTATGATGGTTTATTTGATTTTTAGATTATACCATCTAGTTTATCGAACCATCTTTTAGCAACTATTTCAAGAATCGTTGCCTTTCAAAACTCAACATCACAATTACGAACGATCACAACAAGTTCAAACAAAAAAAATATGTCTCCGTTACATTTTGTGCTATATTTGCAAGGATTTTCAATGATTATTTCTTGTTTGGTTGTTTTTCTTGATGTTGTACCTTTTATAGGGGCGGTATGTTTTATATAAATATTCAAGGTGGATAAAAAGGAACGTCCAAAAGTTTAATTAACCCGTTTATGCCCGAATTAATTCTTTTTTAAATTTTTGTGTTTCCAGTGCCATTTTGGTGCAGTTTTTATCCTTTGCAACTGACTTTAAGCATTGTTTTCAAGAAAATACTATTTTTTCGTAGTTTTTTTGAATGTTCATATACTTCATATACTTTCTCAATCAAATCAACATAAACTTTAACAATAAATGTATTGGAATTATACTATTATACTCCATGTGGAAGTGAACAAAACTGGATTCATGCAGATCGACTTTACATTTTTGACTAGACTATCTCGTGTTTTTTTTTTACAGAAAGCAGTGATTTTGTTTTTCTGCACTTTCTTTGGCACTCTTGAAGCCAATTCTTTATGAGAAGATGCCATATTTTTGTAAATACGTTTGCAAAAATCTTCGAAAATGCAAATAATCCATTTTTTACCCAAGTCATTGTTTATATCTTCGATCCAATGGAAATCCTAGTGGTCTATGTTCTCATCCATCCTGTCTACACCATCCATAAATTTATTATATTGAGTTACTACATGAGGTTACGCAACTAACAATCTTTTTTCTGTTTTGATATCCACCACTCTACATTCTGGAAGCGTAAAATCATAAGTACTGATCATCAGAACTACTTTATTATCATGCCAATATAGTACTATAATCTGTAATATCTGTACAATAGTCATAGAAACCTCTGTCTTTCTTTTCTACCACTTTGAAGGCGTTATGGGACACTTTTCAATTATATTTTATTTGACAGTTCCCGTATATCCATATCTTTTTCCTATAAATGAGTTACTAGTTTGTTTTGGTAGGACGTTTATTAGTCCAAGTACAGCAGACTCTCCCACACCAAATGCTGGTTCCTTTATAGTTGGTTTTCTTACCTTTTTGTGGTTGTCTCATTTTCTTCTTTATACGCTGAAGTACCAGCTGCATTTTCTCCCGTCGGTTTTTTTCCTCGGTATAGTTCAAATTGCATCAAATACCCAAGAGGTTCGTAGAGGCACCATATCTTGTAACTGTATCGTATCGGCTTTCTTTTTAAAAATTGTTTTACCCCGTGCGTTAATTATAAATATGCGTTAAATATTAAGCATTTGCATCAATTCTCGTAATTCTGCAAATTTGTCGCCTGGAGGAAGGTTATTATTATTAGCACAGTGGATATGTCTTTTTATTGTTTCGAATTTATTTTTTCTCATAGAATTTAGAATTTTTTAGTGCCATATTGCAAGATTTGGTTCTTAGTTCCCACCACATTCTACATCTAAGACCAACACAATAGACAGATAATTGCGGTATGGTCACTTTATTTCTTCATTGGTAATGGTGGAACGGATATCCGGCAACTACTCGCTGTCATTACTTTCGATTATTAATTAAAATATCCTCTTGTTAATGCAAAAAGCCGTTTTGAAAAATCACTTTCTGTTCTTGAGAAATAAATTTTTGAAATGATCGACAATTTTTTCGAATTTTGCAATTTTTTTCGATTAAGCTTTCAAAATTCGTATAAAATCCAGTTCTTGGAATATGAGTATGAAAATTTCCCAAAGTGTTAATAAAAGTGTTCTCTTTCCAATGAACCAACCCGTTTTGAAAAATAGTTTTTAGTTTTTGAGAAAACAATATTTGAAGTTTTGATAAAATTTTCGATGTTGATAACTTTCAAAATTCGCTATAAAATTAATTTCTTGAAGAATCCTTGCGGAAATATCACCAATTATTAATTAAAGTATCCTCTTTTTAATGCAACAAACCGTTTTGAAAAATCACTTTTAGTTCTTGAGAAATAAATTTTTGAAATAATCGACAATTTTTTCGAATTTTGCAATTTTCGTCGATTAAGTTTTAAAAATTCGTATAAAATCCGTTTCTTGGAATATGAGTATGAAAATTTCCCAAAGTGTTAATAAGAGTGTCCTCTTTCCAATGAACCAACACGTTTTGAAAATTAACTTTTAGTTTTTGAAAAAAAAAATTTGAAGTTTTGATAAAATTTTCAATGTTGCAAATTTTCAAAATTTGCTATAAAATTAATTTCTTGAAGGATCCTTGTGGAAATATCAACAATTATTAATTAAAGTATCCTCTTTTTAATGCAAAAAGCCGTTTTGAAAAATCACTTTGGGTTTTTGAAAAAACAATATTTAAAGTTTTGATAAAATTTTCGATTTTGCAATTTTCATCGATAACTTTCAAAATTCGCTATAAAATTCATTTCTTGAAGGATCCTTGTGGAAAATCACCAATCAATTAAGTTCACCCTTTTGCTGTGCATATAGCCTTGTCATTTCTGCCAAAAATGATATAATACTATCATCAAGAAAAAGCTCAAAGCATTCTACCGGATCAGAAGAAATGGGTGCTGATTGCATTCGTTTCTTAAAGTTTGGAAACCCAGGAATAAGATCGGATTTTTGCCATTTTCTTTTTTTCGGTAACTTCTTTTTTATTTCTGACAAAATGACGATGTGGTGTAGTTATTTTATCATGACATGCAAATGATTTATTAATTTTGAGATCCTAAACATGAGTTCTGCATTTAAATGAATTCATAAAAACAAAAACTCATAATTTATTCTTGCATTATTCTGGAAGTCAGCCTTGAATTTTTATGCAATTTACAGTTCCTGTAAGTAGCCAAGCTTGTGACGTAACAAGCTCATAACAATGATTTCTGGAATGACAAACTTAGGGTTTGGACAAAGTTAGGTTTGATCTTGCAAGGTCCTACAACAATCTGAAATACTTGATTCAGGTTCATTTAAGAATTCAAGTCTGTCATTCAATAATTCTAGAGCTTAGTAGCTGTTAATCAATTAGATCTGTACTACAATAGATTGAAAAGATGTGCCGGATCAATAATTGATGAAAAATAATTCTGAAATCGCAAACTTAAGGTTTTAAGAATTTTTCTGTTTTAGGTATCCAATTTTGTGCTTTTTACTATGATTCAGAATTCAATCTCAAAATCTTGTACGAACTGAAGATCGCCTACCATCTTAAGTTTATGATCAAAATATACTCGGAAGCCCTCAAAACAAATAAATTTGGCAAAAGATCAAAATTCAGAAAGGAATTGTGTAAGACCAGAAGACAAACACCCATAAAAACTGTTATATAAACGTTAAAGTAACATATTTTATTGACGATTTGTAAAAATTAGCATCCTGTACGTGCGTGACTGCTGCCGCGCCACTTGTATTTTCTGCTATAAGTGGTAGAGACATAGTACTTATCATAAGTGATGATTTTTGCCATTTTCTTTTTTTTTCGGTAACTTCTTTTTTATTTCTGACAAAAGTTCATGATTCGTTCATGATTTGTAATTTCCGCCATAGCTTCCATTTGAAGCTGTCGACCATCCAGTTATTGATATCGTTGCAGAAGTTTTCATTGTCGCTATCTTCAGCACCATCATCTGGAGCAGTGGTAAAAACATCAGCGGCCCAAAAATCCTCACCTTCTATTATTTGAATGAGTTCTGCAGTTGTGAGGGGTCTGAAATTATTAAAAATCATTATGGTCCCGTTTAACATAGTTCCAATATTGGAACTTTCGGAAAAAAGGGTTTTTTTTTGTACTTATCTTATTTGTTATTATGGAAATGTGTTGAGAATTGTTAGGGCACTAAACACGAGGAGGGGAGAATAACGGGGGTGTTGAATTTGAATTTCCAAGTTGAATTGGAACTGTGGGCATAAACGGGTTAAACATATTTTTGATGGTGAATTAGATAAATAAAGAATATAGCTGTTGGGTGTTCTTATTTATTCATTCTTGTTTGGTGAAGTTTGGCCTAGCAATTCAGATAAAGTATAGAAATGCTTCAAAAACATTTTTTTTTGTTTTAGGTTGATACTTTTCCACAATTAGGAGAATTTTTACGTTATGGCTTTTTATGCCACTTTAGTTTCAGTGAAAACTCACCAACGTGTGGTTACACAGCTGTATACGGATGGTTATTTATTGTAGCTTATTTAATATTTTTGCTTTGTTCAATACGGTTCTTAATTTTGTGCCAATCAGCTGTTTATACGCTGGCTACAATGACAACATCTTTACCTCTGGTTGGTATTTGGTGGTCTTTATTCAAAATGGATTCAACTCAAATAGGTATGTATAATTTATCCGTTTTGCCCCTCCAAATATTAATGTTTAATGTTTTTAGGTTTATTAGATTGGTCTCCTTCAGTAACTGGTGAATTAATTTGCGCATTATTGGGATTACCGATAGTAATAATAGGTTTAACTCTTTTATGTAAAAATCATTTTAGGGATTGTAAACTCTCGAAAATGAATATGCCATGTTTAACAGCAACTCAATTAGCATAATTTTTCTGTAAATTTATTTAATTTTTAATAAGCTTAGCGTGAGAGAAACGTTTTAACGAGTTTCACCAAGGGGAGGAAATAAAATAAAAGTAACCAACAATTAAAAGAGAAATATTTAAAAAAAGACAAAAATCGTTGCTTCCACAGTAGTTTTTAAAAATAACCACGTTGCGAGACACAGTTTTAGCGACGCGCTCAGTTTTTTAGCTTGGAGGTATTATTTTTGTACAATATTAAATAAACATAAAAAAAAATTGTTATAGAACATCGATGTAGACCGCGCAGCGCAGCAAAAACGAATACAGTTCAAATTATATTATTATAACAAATAAAATGAAGTCAAAGTATAAGAGAATATTTTTAATAGGCATTTATATAATAGAGGAACGATATTTCTCATTAATAAATAATAATTGATAAAAAAATCGGGAGTCTCGAGGTATTTTTCTCAAAACTGTTCTTTTTTGAAACTATTCTTTTTTCGACGTTTGTTATCGATGTGCCAAATGCAACTTATAGATTATGAATTATAAAGATATACATTATTATTACAATATTTAATCAAAAAATTAAAATAACGTATCGAAACGCTTAACAATAACATTAAAAATAACCACATCTAGTTGTGTTTTGGTTAAAAAAATTGTCAATTATGGTAGCCTTTCTTTTAATTTCATTTCTTAACTTTTACTTTTTACATAACCGGTTGTAGTGATTTAGTTTTTAATTCAACCCATTCTCCTTTTATATGTGATAAATTTTAATAATTTACTTTGACTTGTACCTTTTTTAATTTAAAGAATATGTGATACATTAAAGTGTTTTATTAATTTAAATTTTTTTCCGTGATAGATTTTAAGTGCAATGTTATTTCTTATAAATTATACTATAATAAAATTAAAACCACATTGATATTGTAACGTTCGTAACAACTATATATTATACCAAAATATACAATTATACACTATGTTGTAAACAAGTTGTTGCTCAATACATATATTATGAGTGTTTAATAATTCATTCGTTTTTTTTATCGACGGGGAATCACTACCTTTATAAATATTAGGTTTTTAAAAAACTCTTTTAGATTACAAATAAATACAACATTCCGGTAACATTTTTTTGAATGTTTAATAAGCTACATTGAACGTTCAATTAACCGGAACTGTGGAGAACCTGATTCAAGGTCGATTCAGTGACATTTGTTTTTGTTTTACGGTCAGTAAACTAGAAAATGTAACTGTATATTTAAAATGTAACGAATTTATTGAAATATTTCCATCAATATATCTAACTTTGCTTGTTTCAAATCTCCTCCAATACGACTTTTCAAACTAACAAGTTTTCTATTTATTAAAATAGATTAGATAGATAACGTCCATAATGAAAAAAATAAAAAACCTATTGTTCCTTACTTTGTTGCAATCATCAGCAATTTATGACTTATTGACGCAAAGCTGTGTCACTAATTATTATATTTACCATCGATACCATAAATCCAAAAATCATGACGTAATACAACACATGGATAACCAAATACTCTTTTATATCGACATTATTACATATTAAATAAACTAGAAGAAGAATACAAAGATAAGACCCAATATATGGTAATTACAGGAACAGGAAAGGGCATATAATAGGAGACTGGCATAATAAAACACGTAGACCATACGAAGTACGAATACGTTGGGGTAGTTATAAAAGAAGACGGAAAGGACAATAAATATGTAATGAGGAAAATTGGGAAGTGTAATGAAGAGGTGTGGGTAAGAGAGAAAGACACAACTCGAAGACTGCTAGAAGCAGAGATAATGTTTTGGAGAAGATGCTGCGGCATAACCATGCTGGACCGAGTTAAAAATGAGGAAATAAGAAGAAGATTGACGGCACAAATCTTAATAATAGACATTACAGATGAAAAGCAACTAAAATGGTTGCAGAAAGAAACAAAAGAGAACCTAGGAAAAAATGGATCCAAGACATCAATGTGGAGATGAAGAGGAGAGGACTGGATGAGGATGATTGGAATGATAAGGATGGCTGGCGGTTGGGATTCGAAAAGCGGCAATAAAAAAAGCTGCAAATACTCCCCAAATAGAATACAATAGAATTCTTGCATACTCACAAGCTCAAATATAAAACGCGCGAAAGTCTGAAAAAATTAAGGTTTTTTCTGGTTACTGGTAGAAGAATCATCATAGACTGCATCCGAACGTCTCTATTTTCATAACATATGTAATCAATCGAAATACAAAAACATATCGACGCTGTCAAGCCAAAATGGCATAAACGACATTAACATGTTTTGACAGGAAATACAAAGAAAATTTCATCATTTGGGCAAACTTTAATCAATGTTGTAGCGATTGAAGTTTGTTTGCGGTTATGGTGGTTTACCTGTTGGGTGCTTTACCTGATTTAAAAATTCTGTTCAGTGGTGTAGTTAAGTAAAAAGTAACTAATTTGACGTTTATGTTGTTTCGGCTTGGCAGTGTCGATATTTACATAATATATAGCATTGGACAAGAGCTATAAAATGTTTAATGTAAAATTTACTCATGGGTGATGTTCGATTAGAAACTCAAGTTTGCTGCAAAAGATCTATGTATAATTCTGCTTCTATTTAAAAATGAGTCAAAGACATTTATGTGATTGAGTTTAAATTTCCAAAAATTGCAGAAAGAATCCGAATCTTCGGGCACATTTTGCATTTACTTAGAAAGCTAAACACCAGTATTTATGTGGTCTGCAACTTGGTCAATTTTGCACCCTCTGAAATTGTGCGTAGTTTTCAGAATTGAAAAACGATTTAAAAAGGTGACAACAAAATAATTAGAAATCGTATTACAACAGTGTTTGGTTTACAAAACTTTTTACAGGCTCCATGAGTTTATGAGCAATAACTTTATTGATCCGAGGTGATAATCTTATCTCCTTCATTGTCATTTTCTAAAACCCCATTTCGGCTTTTGTGCAATGATCCTCGTATTATAAATTGCTGTTAATAAATATTTAAAATACTGAGAACACAACATATTAAGATTCTTTAGTATCAAAGATAATCTGTAGGAATTTAGAAATTTTTTAACAGTCGCCAAAGAAAAATGTAATATCATTTTGATGAATCTTTAGAACATCAACTATTGCATCATCAACATTTGAAAGGGGAAGTACCACAATTTTTTGGCACAATTGTGGTTATATCTAAATACGATTCAAACCTAATATCCACTTTATGAAGAACTATGCGTTATAAATGAAAAGTCTCATTACAGAGTTCGTCCGAACTATTTTACAACCTGCTTATTATCCACTGATCGCAATTGAAACATGCCATCGCGGCCACCTCCCTGATAAAAATATCTAGGGCCAGAACGTTCAGCATAGTCTAAATCGCGATCTTGGGATGTCGATTTCATGGCGCCCATTCTTATCATAATAATAATAATTTATTGAGTGTAAAATAAAGTTTACACTACATCAAAGAAGAAACAAACAAAAAATTTAATGCTGTATAACAGGTTCTAAAAAAAATCATTTATGGTATAAAAGGCATTTTGCGTAAGATATGCTCTGAGGTATATTTTCATTTTCTTCAGCGGCAACTATCTAACTAACTGTGCCAGGTGATTGTAAAATTTCGTTCCCCAGTAGTCAGCGTTCTTTTGTGCCTTTGCTAAGCGGTGACGTGAAGAAAAATACATAGGGCTTTTCAGATTGAAAAATGCACGCACTGCTCGGTTCTGCAGTAGGAAAATTCGTTCTGCAGCCGAAGACATTCCCCAGAAATGGATACCGTAGGTTGCTCGGCTGTGAAAGCTAGCATAATAGGAGTTCTGATTCTCCTTATGCAGTAAATTGCCTCGTTTAACTTTTTTGCAGTGTTCTCTACGTGAATAGACCACTTGAGTTCCTCATCTATATATAACCACAAAAATTTTATTGATTTACATTCTGCCTTCTCATGTCCTCTATTAAACATGATTTTTTGCGTCTTCTCCTCGTTTAATGTTAGGCCATTGTCTTGCAGCTATTGTTTAGCATTGTGCATCGATTCGCAAGTGTTATTTTGAAGATCTTGCGATTCTCCAGTTGAAACGATGGTGGTGTCATCCGCGTAGAGGCAAAGGTTCCCATGATGCAAAGCATACGGCATATCATTTACATAGATGATAAATAATAAAGGCCCAAGTACTGAACCTTGTGGCACCCGCTTATGGAATTCGATTTCCTACCATTAATCACTACGATTTGTTTCCTAGCTGCCAAGTAAGAATTTAAAATATCAAAGGCTACGCCAAGTATCCCATAATAAAACAACTTATCCAAGAGCAATGTGTGATTAACGCCTTCGACAAATCGACTCCTACCAATTCTACAAATTTCTTTTCGTCTATCGCTGCTAATATTTTGTAGACAATCTCGTGTACTACTTGTTGATATTCAGTAAAAAAATTTCTTTTCTCAAAAAACGTTGATTCTATCCGCTATGATACATTCAAAAACCTTCTAAATTGCTGGTAAAATAGAGATTGGTCTGAAGTTATCTGTATCGCCTTTTTTATAAATTGGGATGATTTTAGCCACCTTGAGTTAGCTTGAAAATACTCCTTGTTTGAGGCACATATTAATGAGGTACACCAACTGAGCGGAAAGGCCATCTATGGTTTTTTTAGAAAAGCCACAGACATTCCATATAAGAGTCCTCATTTCGTATTAGAAGTGTAGATCCACATTGTAACCCTCCGATTTAATCCCCATGTGGCTAGTTAAGAACAGAAGTGATCAAATTATAGGTGTTATAAATGGTTCTGTAGTAGCTTTTTTTAACAGGATCTTTACCAGCAGTTTTACATTTTTCAACATAAGATGAATAAAGTTTTTGCAGGTTTAAACTTGGTTCTAGATATTGGCGGTTAGACGATCTTTCACCATAGTGGCTCACATAACGAGGAATACTCGCAATGTGTTGCTTTACAAATTCCTTGATGTCGTCTGCAATTTTATTTCCAGACACTTGTTTACCTCTGTGATCTGATATGGGCATGTTTGTTTCTGGCTCTCTCTTTTTTATAAGAGTATAATCTAACCTTTTATTAGAGAACCTTATTCTCACCGAAAAAGAAACTTAAAACAACGAGTATGTTGGTTATGACTAGGTCCTCTAGAGATGCGTTTTTTTCGTCTCATAGGCAAACTTATTTTAACAGTACTGCATAGCCATGCAGTTTGTCCATTCCAATCCATGGTATAGAATTTAGAGTGAATAATCTTTTGCACTCTTGTAGGAACATGATCACTACACTTACTTTTGCAAGTACATAAAATAGAATAGTTCACCTTTGTTTCGTTTTTGCTTGATAAAATTTCTCTTCCACATATTCTCATTTTTCCGTTTTCGAGTTCTCACTACTTCTTCTTATTGCCCCATATTTTATAAACTTGATTAAGATCCTGCTTGACTTGTGGTCGATGTGTTATTAATATACTTAGATATATTTTCAATATTTTCTTCTTTGGATTCAGGTTCTTGTGATGGACGATATGGTTAACTACTGTCACTATAAGGATCTGGTTGTGATTTCGAAAATTGATATTCAAGTATTGCAATTTCAGTATCAGGAAGAACGTCCATGAGACTCACTAAAAAGTATTACGCAATATTATCAGATTGTAGTTCGTTATAGATGCAGAATTGCAATGTAAATTTAAGAAAAGGTTTCAATCATGACACTAAAGAGGTTTCTTTATTTAAAGAAAGGTAAACTCACCAACCAGTTTTACCACGTTATTTTAATGAACAAACTTCTTTAATATAACTTTGTAAGAGACTTTAGCTCGTTCCACCAGTTATGATTATTGATACGCAACATTGATAGATTAATTTGTAATTTTCTATTATGAGATTTAAAACTCATAAAAAATTTGAAAATGAAAAATGTTGATTATATGATGAATGATGATTGACATGGATTATTTCTGCACTAATGTAGGTTAAAATCCACAGTGAAGGGATCCAAGTAGCATTCAAGTAACTTAGATCACATTTGCACTAATCATTTTATAGTTCTAGGACAATGCAAAAATGTCACAAATACAACTTTGATAGCTCAATAGTATTTCGATTACTTTTGCATTAACTAATGTAATGACAGAGAAGTTCAAAAAGTGACATAACTCAGTTTTTTTAAAAATGTTACTTGGATCACTTCTGTTCTTAACTAGCCATGTAGTCATAATTGCCCTTCAAGATTGGGTGAGTATGATCGTTGCTTTTTTGTTTTGCAACTAATGTGTGATTTGCAAATCAGTTTTTTGTCCAAGATAACACCAAGATATTTTATCTCTGGATTTAAGGTTAGTGGACTGTTGCAGAAATGGGGTGGCGTTAAGTGCCCAGTTTTCTCTTTTTGGTGAAGAGAACACCAAAAGTCCTCTGAGTCCTCTTACTTGTACTCGAGACAATTATATCCATCCTAACCTCATTTATGTAAATGTAAACATCTTGTTAGCAATAAACGAAAGTTCAAAAACAATTTTCCTCATTAATCAACAATTACAATTATTTGTTAGTAATGTAAAGATAGTTATAAATAATTAATATTGAAACATCTTTTTGGATTTAAAAAAAAAAATTGTATACCTGAAGATGTTTCAATTAGACCAAAACTTTGAACGTTTAAAAATGATACCTTATTAATATAAAACCAATTGGTTGTTACTTAATAAACAATAATAATTATTTTTTATTGGTAAACATAATAAAATGAGTACGTGCCCATGAGAGAGAGAGAAAATGTACTGCACCTATACCGTTATCTTTCTCGGATAGCAGCGCTGCATGTGGTCAATGGTCGACATCAGCTGCCGCGCATGCGTGCCTCATCGAGTGTCGGACAGTCGAGCAGCGCGTACGTGAGCTGTGCCCCTCGGAATCCCTATCGTAACAATTATAAAAAAATAATAATAAATAACGCGGGGTGTCGCGAGTGATTTTCACGGTCCGTCGGTAACTGTTTTCAGTTCGGTTTTGGTTTCTCGGTACTAAATAAAAAAGTGATCCGTTTCCGTCGGTACTATGATGTGTTGGTGGTGTTTGAACGCGTGCGACCCTAGAGAACTGCCATACAGGTGACGGTACCGATTTATCGGATAACTTCTATTCCTTAAAAGGGTACGTAGTAATATTTAAAATTTACAATACATCTAAGGCGTTTTATACAGAGATAATAACAAAGATCGAGGTGTGCGTGGAGCGTCCACACGGGCCACTCGATGGACGTTCCACTTTCCGCCGGAGGTCGCACACGCCGCCGTATTTCACTGTAAGCGACTCTCCCAGATCCCAAAAAGAAATTTCAAAAAATACAATAAAGAAACAATCATATCGGCTATTTTGTTTACGATTTTATTCAAAAAATTCGCGTCTGTTGTGATTTTCTAAGGGTTTGTTATTAGTAATGTATCGATCACGCACATCCATCTTGCTGCAAAACAATTGCCGTCAAAGCGTAGCGTAACTGTCAAAGTCTATGGGTCCACGTTCCATTCTCGCCTTCAGTAGGCCATAACACCACCCATCGATTGTATTACCGTTATTTGTTGTTATATTGTTTTATTTTGTTGTTATTATTGTTTTTGAAGAGGATTTTGCTAAAGAACCTAACCACAAAGCACCACCATCTAGCGGGTTTACCTGTACTTTAAGGTATACAACTTCATCTAATTATAAGAATATCTAAATCAACCGTGTGTATATAACGTGGTACTCCTCTTTCGACTTTTTTTTAAATCTGTTTATACGATTATTGCAAGCTGTAGATGTATTTCGTGTCAATTGGGAAAACTGGTTGGGTGCGGCAGCCATTTTAGCAGGTTAAATTTTATCACCGTTTTAACGCAATTTCTGGGTCCAAGACTTTTTTTGCATACCCATACGGTCAAAAATTCCATTTTAAATTTAGGTTTCTTTACCTGTTGGGATGATCTTCTTGTGGTCAACCTAAATATACAACAAAAAGGAAATAAATCTAAGTCTAAATTTCAATTTGCGTATATTAGTATTTAATTCATTGTTGATTTTATTAAGTGTATCTTTTGATATTGTGATTAATCTAAAAACATAATAAGTATTTCTTACATTTACAAATTATAAAAGGAGTCACCTTCAAAGGACGTAACAAAATGTTGGTCACGCGAAATACCTTAGGTAATTATAACATAATAATAATCGCACTTTAATGATTCATAGAAATAATTGCAAAGGTATAAAGTTGTACAACATAAAAAATTTGGATCACCAGAAATGTTTTATGAGAAAATCGAAGTTTCAAAACAACCCATCTTGGAATAAAAATCCACAAAAGAGAATTATAACAAATATTCTTCCATGGTGCTAAACATATTTATAGAAGAAAATTTTTATATTAGAAAATGTAATAGCATAGTAAAGATTGCAAGCAATATCAGGCCTTGTGGCCACCATTAGATGAACTATTGTCCAAAAACTTCTTTTGATGTAGAAATCAATACAATTGGTGTAAACGATACACAATTATTTGCCAGAAAACTCATAATTTTGGTTATAAATTTCGTAAAGTTTAATAGTTCCATCCGTGCAAGTAACTTTATGAGCGACAAGACATCTATCAGCACGTACAGTACGTATTATTGCACTATAGTGCTTTTTGCCCACTCTAAGGGAATTAAGATTCAGAGTGCACTAAAGTTTTATGGCTCGATGTCGCACAGTTTACAGAGAACCATGAAAATCATGATCTAACACCTCAAATCCAAGAAAATGTCATGTTCAATTTAGGTTTCTTTACCTGTTGGGATGATCTTGTTGTGGTCAACCTAAATATACAAAAAAAAGGAAATAAATCTAAGTCTAAATTTCAATTTGAGTATATTAGCATTTAATTAATTGTTGATTTTATTAAGTGTATCTTTTGATATTGTGATTAATCTCAAATCATAATAAGTATTTCTTACATTTACAAATTATAAAAGGAGTCACCTTCAAAGGACGTAACAAAATGTTGGTCAGGCGAAATACCTTAGGTAATTATAACATAATAAAAATCGCACTTTAATGATTCATAGAAATAATTGCAAAAGTATAAAGTTGCGAATTTTCGTAGAGCATAAAAAATTTGGATCACCATAAATGTTTTATGAGGAAATTGAAGTTTCAAAACAATCCATCTTGGAATAAAAATCTACAAAAGAGAATTATAACAAATATTCTTCCATGGTGCTAAACATATTTGTAGAAGACAATTTTTATATTAGAAAATGTAATAGCATAGTAAAGATTGCAAGCAATATCAGGCCTTGTGGCCACCATTAGATGAACTATTGTCCAAAAACTTCTTTTGATGTAGAAATCAATATAATTGGTGTAAACGATACACAATTATTTGCCAGAAAACTCATAATTTTGGTTATAAAATTCGTAAAGTTTAATAGTTCCATCGGTGCAAGTAACTTTATGAGCGACAAGACATCTACCAGCACATACAGTACGTATTATTGCACTATAGTGCTTTTTGCCCGCTCTAAGGGAATTAAGATTCAGAGTGCACTAAAGTTTTATGGCTCGATGTCGCACGGTTTACAGAGAACCATGAAAATCATGATCTAACACCTCAAATCCAAGAAAATGTCATGTTCAATTTAGGTTTCTTTGCCTGTTGGGATGAACTTGTTGTGGTCAACCTAAATATACAACAAAAAGGAAATAAATCTAAGTCTAAATTTCAACTTGAGTATATTAGTATTTAATTCATTGTTGATTGCATTAAGTGTATCTTTTGATATTGTGATTAATCTAAAAACATAATAAGTATTTCTTACATTTACAAATTATAAAAGGAGTCATCTTCAAAGGACGTAACAAAATGTTGGTCACGCGAAATACCTTAGGTAATTATAACATAATAAAAATGGCATTTTAATGATTCATAGAAATAATTGCAAAGGTATAAAGTTGTACAACATAAAAAATTTGGATCACCAGAAATGAGTATGTTTTATGAGCAAATTGAAGTTTCAAAACAACCCATCTTGGAATAAAAATCCACAAAAGAGAATTATAACAAATATTCTTCCATGGTGATTCTAGTGTTTCATCTGGTGCTAAACATATTTGTGGAAGACAATTTTTTTATTAGAAAATGTTATAGCATAGTAAAGATTGCAGGCAATATCAGGTCTTGTGGTTACCATTAGATGAACTATAGTCCAAAAACTTCTTTATACGGAAAATTTATACGTTCTCTAGATGTAGAAATCAATACAATTGGTGTAAACGATACACAATTATTTACCATAAAACTCATTATTTTTGGTTATAAATTTCGTAGAGTTTAATTGTTCCATCTGTACAAGTAACTTTATGAGCGACAAGACGTGCTTGCCCCATTTATCAGCACGTAGTACGTATTATTGCACTATAGTGCTCTTTGCCCACTACAAAGCGGCCATTACACTATCAATAACATTGACAATACCTTAGTATATTGACAATAATATTGGCTGTGTAAGGTGAAAAATTTTATTGACGGTAAATATTGGTAGAGTATTGATAAAAATCCGGATTTTCAGGCATCAATACTGAAAATTGGAGGGGATATTGATAATACTATTGACCGTGTAGGGTTGGCGCCAATATTTCCATCAATACTCAGTGTAATAAACTCAACTTTTAAAATTAAATACTTTTATTTAATTGTAACAATAACAAAACATGTCTATCAACACACTGAAGAAACATAATATATGTTATTTTAACCCAGATGGTTTGAAAACAGGTTTAATTCTTATTTTCTACATTACACTCAGTTGAATAAGTGGTGAAAATGACCGACCCATTAACTGACGTTGTTGACGTTCAACACAATGGAGATACTGTTGGTTCATCCAGTTCCCGTGGTGATGAACAAGATGCTCTTCTTAATTACATCGAGCTATACGAACTACTCCATGTAGTCTTGTAGGACATATATCAAGGTTTCACAGGTTTCTGTTACAGCTTTGCTGATAGTTGCTGGGGGCATTATGACAGAAAACTTCAAGTCTTCAAAATTTCTTCCTGTGGCCAAGTACCTCAGGGTTAGGGCTAATCTTTTCCTAATACTTATACTTTCTCTCATATTGCTATCCTGTCTTTTCAAAAATGGTTCAACCATCTGTAACAGTTTGTTAAAGGTACTTTCATCCATTCGAAAGTAGTTCCTAAAATCATCAACATCGCAGAGGTTGATTCCTCTCAACAGTACTAGATGAGAATATTCATCTCTCTTCTTCAACCATTCTTTCATCCATTATTTGCGTTTCACTCGATGAGTAGTTCCAAGCGCCAAAATAATAGCTACGCAAGCTTTTGTACAATTATCCATATTTGGATTGGAAATACCGGCAAATAACCGAGTAAAACTACGTAGATTCACCCTATTCGTGGTAAAAAGATAACTTATTGACAGAAGTATTGACAATAATATTGATCGTGTAAGGTAATTGAGACTGGTTATCACGAGGATTGATAGTTATATTGTCAATACTATTGATCGTGTAAGGGCCGCTTAAGTGAATTAAGATTCAGAGTGCACTAAAGTTTTATGGCTCGATGTTGCACGGTTTACAGAGAACCATGAAAATCGTGATCTAATACCTCAAATCCAAGAAAAAGTCATGTTAATTGGAGAATTCAATATTCACATACCAACATAAAACAGTGTAGGTCATCAATGACGGTAAGCTTACGCATTTTTCTGCTATTATATGACTATTATTATACCACTACCATAAACTACAGACGATACCATCCTATGAAGTTACCATTTATTGCGTATGCTTCAATTACAAATTGACATCTTTGATGCTGAAACTCATCATTGCTAAAATAATATATTGATCGATGAAATTTGGCTAACTTTGAATAATAGGGATGAGATCATTTTATAAAATTTTGTTATCCTGTCTTTAATGAATACCGTGCTGATTATTCCACGACTTGGCATTGCACAGCAACCAGTTACTCGTTTGGGGTGGCGACACTTCTAGATCGCTTTACATGGGACTATATGTAATAATTTGAAATAAAAATATTGCCAACCTTCTATAATATAATGCTGAATCCATGATTAGATTCAAAAAATGGAGATGAATTAA